CTTAAAAAAAAAAAAAAATACTTTTTTTGCTGTATTTTTTCCTCAGAGTGCAGAAATCTTGACAGTGCCTTTTTTTATTTTTTTGTCCTCCTTTCATGCTTTTATTTTGCCTTTTATTTGGTACAACCTAAAAATTTTCTCATGCTTGAGTTATTTCGAGTGTTTTTGGTAAGCACAATAAGTTAGTTATGGCATATTTGATTAGTTATAAGCTTTTTGTATTCAAACCAGTGTTCTAAAAGTAGCTAGGTGCCTATAGCGCTTAGGCGGGGCTTAGGCGGCGCCTAGTCGGGGCCTAAAAATTAATATGAAATACCTTATTTTCTATTTATGTTAACTACCTACAAAATAAAACTATCTCAGCTCATATCAAATCGACACACTTAAGTCCAAATAATAAGTTTAGTATATTTTACAGAAAACAAAATAATGTTTTAGTATTTAAAAAAATTAAAAAAAAAAAAATTGAAAAATTGTCGCAAGTCCGCCTAGGAGCGGCTAGGTCCGTCTAGGTCCGTCTATGCCCGCCTAGGTGTTGCCTTAACCGCCTGGCCGCCGAGCCCGCTAAGTCCGCCTAGGAGCGCCTAGGGCCGTCTAGCTGCCTGACCAATTTTTTCTGCCGATTTGTTAAAGTCTGAGGCGCCCGGGCACCGCCTAGCACCTAGTCGCCGCCTAGGCTGATTTTTAGAACAGAAATTCAAACACGGTAGGTTTGGGGTATGACGGACTTTTTTAAAAAGCTCGAGTTTATCTCATAAGTTTCATTCGATAGTTTTTTAAATAAGCCTGTTGAAATTTTTATTTCTACAATTTAACAACTTTTATCTGTCATTAGTTGAAATTCACTTATAAGTTATGAGCTAATTTATCTGCTATCATCTAGCTTTATCCGCCTAGCGCTGCCCGCGAGTCCTAGTTCGCGCCCGCTAAGAGGGCCTAACCCGCGACTTTTCAGCCAGCAGCTCCCAGCAGCCCGCGAGTCCTAGTTCCGCGCCCGCGAAACGCTGCTATCCCGCGAGTTCTAGTTCTCAGCGCACCCCGCGCGCGCGAGTTTCGTGGCGACGTCGCGAGTTCCCTTCTTGTGCGTCCCCCGCGTGCACCTGTGCCCAGTACCACCGCACACCCGCACTGCCCAGCGCGTCCGCGAGCTCACGGATTTCCCGGCGAGCTCGAGAGTGCCGCGCCTTCCATGCCCGTGCTGTTGTTGCCTGCGAGCTCGCGAATTCCGTGGCGACCTCGAGAGTGTGCTATTAAATGTGCGTGTGTTTAGTGTATTTTTGTGGTGTAACTATATAAAGACATTATGCTTTGTATTTTTGGGAACAACCCTCATTTCCCAACTTTTAAGTTGGGAAATCCTCTCCATTTTCTCTCTTTTATTTTTTATGCTTTGGTTGGAGACTCATGACTCGATTTATCCGGTGAAATTCTGGCAACTTTATTTTCGATCAAGATTCAAGTTTTACGCACTATTTTCGTCTACGCATGCGATAGGAGGGTGAGTACCTTGCTTAGGGCTAATTACTTCGAGTTTGTTTTTGATTTTGTGTTGATGCTCGATTCTAGGTTTTCGCTCTATTTTCATTGCTTGCTTTGGTGTGTTAGGATTCGATATGTGCTTATCTAGAAAGATTTCGACTTTGCTCAAAGCGTAATAATTTAGTGTAGAAAGCTCGTGTTAGAAGACCTAGGATCGCTATGTTTGCATGATTTCTCTTGTTATTTTTCTTTTTCTTAAGTCATGGGGATTCCGGTAGACCAAAGTTTCGATCTTTTTCTCTATATTTGCATTTTCCATCATTCGCTCTTAGATTCGCAGTTCAAGTGCGTGCAATCATCCCCAATCAAGCGAGTAGCATGTTTAGGACCTTGTTTTCGGTTGTGTGACTTTGACGACTAGGTAGTAAACGAAGCTACCGAATAGCTTTCCTTTGAGAACGACCCGAGTCGAGTAGCTCGGTTACCACATGCCCAAAAATACTACAAACAATAATGCTCTATTAACTAAATATAAATCCTTCGATGAGTCCGTCTAACTGTCAGGAGTATCAACCTATCATACTTTTCGAACAATAGCCAGCCTTACCGATTGCTAAAAAGCTCGACCAATAACGCACTGTAAAATGGTTACAAGCATTTAAGCAACTCAGAATCTTGAATCTTAAGTCTGTTTATTACAGTAACAAGTGAGATAAAATCATTTGAGCTAAAAGTCTTTGATCCATAAATATGTTTGAAAAGGATCTTTCTTTGAAAAAAAAAAAATCAGAATAATGAGATATAAAATCAGTATTGGTAATAAGACTGATTCTGTTATATATTATAATCATTTATTGGCCAATTTTTACATTAAATAAGAAAATATAGAAGGGATAGGTGAGATCCACTTGATTTGATAGCACTGAGTTGTTTTGAGTATTTATTAAAATTGCTCAAAAATATTAATTGGCAATAATTTAATTTTTTTTAAAAAAAAATCCAAAGTATACAAAATGAATAG